CAAGTGGTATACAAGATAACTTTACTTATTCTGTGATAGTTATGGAGTAACTACACTTTCAAGTGGTATACAAGATAACTTTACTTATTCTGTGATAGTTATGGAGTAACTACACTTTCAAGTGGTATACAAGATAACTTTACTTATTCCGTGATAGTTATGGAGTAACTACACTTTCAAGTGGTATACAAGATAACTTATTCCGTGATAGTTATGGAGTAACTACACTTTCAAGTGGTATACAAGATAACTTATTCCGTGATAGTTATGGAGTAACTACACTTTCAAGCACCAGTTTCCTTCTAACTTGTAACATATGTGAAATATTAATATTTTCAGATTATGGAAATCAATATCATACATGATACACTAAGAAAGATGTAGACATATATTTTGTAATAAATAATTATTATATCACTGTACAGCACTCACATATATTTTTTCTCCCTACCAAAAGGTTCTAAAATACTTATAAAATATGATGTGTGTGTGTGTTTCACTGTAAAATACCTTTGCCCCTGCAATGATCTGATTGGCCACTCTTTTTGACAAGTGATCCACTTTTTGTGTTAGTTCTTCAGCTGTGGTAATAGCAATGTCAGTCAAAGTTTTGAAACCGGCAGCATAAAGCTGGCGTGCCCTACCCTGATGAACAGAACAGTCAGTTGGTATAATAATCAAATATTACAAGAAATATCTCGAGTCAGTTATTCCTGAGAAACTTACAACTAAGAATCATTTAAGAAATTAAACAGATAAGAGACTGTATTTAAAAGTTAACAAATATATATATATACATGATTTATATTTCCACCATATTAAAAATAAACAAACATCATACAGACAGAAGTATTAAACTTTAATAGACCACTGTTGACATATTTAAGGGCTGAAACTTTTAATGAAATAAACTACTAATCTAATATACACCTTGGGAACACTAGGTTCTTCGTTATCTAATAATACTTACTAGACAGCTGAAAGAAAAGTTACTTTGTATAATATATTTAATCAAAAATAGTAATGTTGACTTGATGGTGTAGGTAATTCCTGTATAACAAAATGTCAACACCATAGGTCCTACTTCCTCAGATATGTTCTACTAGGATACTTTTAATCTAAATGCAATTTGCTCTTGATATAGATTTTAGAGATTATGTTTTCCTACACAAACACAAGTTAATGTTTGTATAAAATACTTATGTACAAAGCTCAAAATTAAATTCTTTATTCAACATTTGTTCTAGCTATATATGTAGAATAAGATAAATGTGTTAATGCTTAGATTTAACATTACCAAGAAATATTTTCACTTATTTTAATTACTTCCTGTAATAACTGAACAATACCTGTTTCACTGCAGGCAGCTCCAGTAGAGGAATCAGTTCCACTGCTACACAGAAAGATAATTGCTTCACGAAGTTTGGAAGAAGATCTTGTAAACCCCAAAACTCTTGAAATTCCTGAAAGAAAAACCACCCCAACTCAATTCATAATGTTCTACTAAATTATATTAGCAAATTGTAAATGTACAAGTAAACACCACGACTTCTAAATATATGTATATATACGACATGCCTTATAAATACACAGATATTTTAGTCAAACCATGCCTTCTAAATATAAAGATGAACATGCTAAATATGACTTAGCAATACACTTGTTACCAGTAGTGCTACACAGTGTGGTTAACACAATACCTTCTAAACATCAAGGTGAACATGCTAAATATGAATTAGCAGTACACTTGTTACCAGTAGTGTTGCACAGTGTGGTTAACACAATACCTTCTAAATATCAAGGTGAACATGCTAAATATGACTTAGCAGTACACTTGTTACCAGTAGTGCTGCACAGTGTGGTTAACACAATACCTTCTAAATATAAAGA